GGCTAGTGGGGGTCGCCGCCTCCCCATACCTGTCCTCAGGAACGGGACCTCCTGAAGAAGTTCCACATCCCGGTGGACACGATGGTGACATACATGCTGACCCTGGAGGACCACTACCACCAGGATGTGGCCTACCACAACAGCCTGCACGCGGCCGATGTGCTCCAGTCCACCCACGTGCTGCTGGCCACGCCTGCGCTGGACGTGAGCTCCGCCTCACCCCGCCTCCCTCACCACCCCTCTCTGACCGCCCGCCTCTGACTCTGGGTCTCTGACCTCCGTCTCTCTCTGACCCCGTTCCTCTCTCTGATCCTTCTCTGTTTCTCTCTGAGCCCCCATCGTTCTAACCCCGTGTCTCTCTGACTCCCTCTCTCTGCCTCCAGGCTGTATTCACAGACCTAGAGATCCTCGCAGCCCTCTTCGCGGCTGCCATACACGACGTGGACCACCCCGGGGTCTCCAACCAGTTCCTCATCAACACCAGTGAGCGCCCCTCCATGAGCGGGGAGGGGGGAGAGCCTGTTGGAGTGGAGGTGGGCGGGCCCACCGTGGGCGCTCTCTCCCCGTGACCTCCGCCCCGCCTGGGCAGATTCGGAGCTGGCGCTCATGTACAATGACGAGTCGGTGCTGGAGAACCACCACCTGGCCGTGGGTTTCAAGCTGCTGCAGCAGGACAACTGTGACATCTTCCAGAACCTCAGCAAACGCCAGCGGCAGAGCCTGCGCAAGATGGTCATCGACATGGTGGGCGGGGCGGGGGCAGACCAGGAAAGGTCGGCTCTGAGGGGTGGCACCGTGGGAAGGTCTGAGTTTGAGACCGAATGGCCCTTGGTGGGGTGGGGAGGGAGTCTTTTGGCGGGACCTGTGGGGACAGGTTGTGCCCAGTGAAAACTTGAGAAGCTCCCGCCCGCACAGCCATCTGGTGGGGAGATCCAGTGGCCCCTGTGACAGCCCCCTTGTCCACAGGTGCTGGCCACCGACATGTCCAAGCACATGACCCTCCTGGCTGACCTGAAGACCATGGTAGAAACCAAGAAAGTGACCAGCTCAGGGGTCCTTCTGCTGGACAACTATTCCGACCGCATCCAGGTGCCCCCTCCACACATCATAGAAGACTGGTCCCCTCCCCTCCACCCTTCAGATCTGGGCTGCTCTCCAGCTCTCTTCTTGCCCATCTTCCTGTCTGTTTTTCTCTCTCCCCTCCCGTTTTCCCCATCCAATCCCCACCTCCCTCCCCATCTCCCCCCACTTCCTACCATCTCCCCCAATTCTTCC